TCCTCTCCACTGTCGCTACAAGCATGCTTAATGTGAGGGATTGCTGAGAGTCAATGAGTCGATGCAATCAGCTGGTTTTCCTCAGATGAAAAACTTTGAATCAATTTGACTGGATGATCTGGTGAACTGGAAAGTGCCTTTAGATGATATGTGTTGTGAATTGGTGCTATAGAAATTAAGGGATGCACGATATTGGGATTTTGGCCGATATCCGATATGCCGATATTTTAAAACTCATGTAGCCGATAACCGATATCGATACCGATGTTAAAGCTGGACAAAAATAAGTAGTCATTGAAAATAGCAGTTTTGTTATCCATTTCTGACACTTTGAAAAATAATTTACTCAAATATACTTTCATATGCTGATATCAAATAGATTTTTAAAAACGCGGTATCGATCTATTTTACTTTCAAAATCTCGTGAAATTGTATCGTTCTGTTACAAACTCTCGTGATATTTTGCAAATTCTTGTGAGATTTTGTTAGTAAAATAGATTGATACCACGTCAATATATCAACATATAAAAATATGGCAAAATTTCTTGAATTTTCGGGGGATTTGGTATCATAACGATGACATATAGCAATATTTCATTAGTAAAAGAGATTGATATGGTGTTTTTAAATGGCAATATATCAGCATATGAAGATATTGTGATATTTTAATGTATCAATATCAATAGTTTTTAAGTCTGTAAAAAATAAGTTTTTGAGGAAGAAGAAGAAGTAGTATTTTTTTTTTTTAAACTTTAGAAACTCAGATGCTGATCAAATATCGGGTTAAATATCGGTGGGGTGGCCGATGTCCGATATTCAGTTTTAAGGCCGATACCGATAGGGGGCCGATTATATCGTGCATCCCTAATAGAAATAAACTGAACTGAACTGAAAATTATGTAAAGTAAAAAAACTCATACAGATAAAAAAATGTTTGAACATAAAACATTTGTTCTGAAGATATTGAGCTGAATAATTGAGGCCCTTTGATACTCTCATGCTTCTCCTAGGCCTCATAGTTTACTTCCGTCTCTTCTCTGTCTGTCCAGTGTAAGTAAGTGATCCATTTTTAATGACGGTAGCGTTCCTGTAAAAGTACTTACCTCTTGCTTTACAGAAAAAAATTCTCTTAATAGTTTTTTCCATTTTTATAATCCAACAAATTAGATGTTTACGTTGTGTTTTTGAGGTCCACGAGAAGCCAGAGCTGCAAGTTTCTGTTTAGCTTTCTGTGGATAAAATGTTTACTGTCTTCCTAATAACAATTGAAACTTTTCTTTAGTTTCATTTACAGGAAATGCGTTTCAGAAATGAGTTTTACAGATCACTAAGATCTGACAAATGATTCAGATTTCGATATTATATTAAACACGGAGAAAGGGAAGTGATATCGCTTACATTGGAAACAACCTAAGAAGTTGCAGGAGGGTGTGATCTGTTACTCTGTTTGACACTGCACTTCCTGTGCTGGGACTTTTTTTGCTTTCATCTTTATGAACTTTAAACAACAACAGAATAGTCCACAGCAAATGTTGCAGACAGCTGTATTAATAACAATTATTAACATTTTCAGCAAGAAAGGTTTGTAGTTTCTGGGAAGTTGTCATAGAGGTCATTATCCTCTTCTAAATGTGAACAGATTCTGAGTGTGAAAATGCTAGGAGAGTAAACAAAAAAATGAATATATAAATATTTGTGTTTTTGCCTTTCCTTTAGTTTATGTATTTGTAATCAAGGAACTAAGAGATCCATTAGCCGGTGGTAAACATAATAGTTGAAGACCTTGAAATGCATTATCTATCTATTTTGTTCTCTTAAGCTGCTGTCTAAACAAAATGGTAATGAAAGCCACAAAACAGTCCTGCTGCTAGAGCTGTAACTTCTCATCTCTAAAGTCAATAAAAGTTGTTAGGGGGTTGAGTTGGTAGATTTTACCCACATTAGGATAACCTTGAGTAAAAATTAAATGATTTGACAGTAACATGACCTGAACTAGGCTGCTCAGTGGAGCAGTGGGTAGCACTGCTGCCTTGCAGGGATCGATTCTCGGCCCGCGGTCTTTCTGCATGGAGTTTGCATGTTCTCCCTGAGTATGCGTGGGTTCTCTCTGGTTACTTTGGCTTCCTCCAAAAGTCCAAAAACATGAATATGAGGTTAATTAGCTTCTCTAAATTCTCCTGCAGGAATGGTTGTCATGTGTCTCTGTGTTTCCCTGCGATTTACTGGCGGCCTGTCCAGGGTCGCCCGGAGATAGGCACCTTACGTCACCGCCTGCGATAAGCGTGACGGAAAATGGATGGATGGATGTTCTAATCCGATTAATAAAATATGCTTCTAAGGCAGCTAGTAGCTAACCTGACTCCACCAGATGGATTTGCTCCTCATATCCTTCTGGAAACCTTCCGTTGAAGTAATTTTGGGAAGGGGTGAAAATACTGGTTAGCTGATTGGCCTATGTTGGTGATAGATGGGCCAAATAAACCAATCAGATCAACGAAGCATATGACGTACTAACAGAGCGACGATGAAGAGGAGCCAATTGATAGATCAAACTATTGCCGAAACCAGTCGGGAGAAGAGCAAAAACATCTTTTCCTCTGAGAAAAGCCTCCAGAGCAGTGTTTTGCTCTTCTTTCAGTGAAGAAATACTCTGTAATTCCGATAAAACTTGCTCGATAGCCACGCTAATGCTAGTTTCATCGGCTGAAGCCGCCATGTTCTTTAGACTGAACTGTCGCGCTTCTCGTTGCGTCACACCTCAACCCGCCTCAAAGCCAACGCTGATTGGACGTTCGTTTGGTGAACTGCTCCAAATTTTCTTTAACGGAGAGTCTCCAGACTGATTAGCGAGTGAAACCTTGAAAGCTCGCGAGATCAGGATGGTCTCACGAGGCTAGCTAGTAGCTTCCTTACTGCTTTTCTAAAAGGAGTGATAATCTAGGCTCCTTGCTTTTGGGCCTAAAAGGCTTTCCAGAGAGTGAATTTGTCTTATGCGGCAACAAGTTGGGGAGGGGCAACTATGTTATTCTGTGCTCCATGTAATCAGAAACATCAGCACCTCCTGCAGTGTCTCTGGCAAACGATTTTCGTGATTAGATTTTTTTTTTACAGATTATAAATGTAACTTTATAACTCTTATTATAATATTATCTTAACACCACCGGTGACCCCTCACTCCCCCACCATGGACTGTTCTCCCTGCTTCCCTCTAGGAAGATGCTTTGCAGCATTCAATCCAGGTCCAGCAGATTCCGAAACAGCTTCTTCCCCATCCCGCCATCAGACAGCTGAATGTTGGAAAAACTCTAAATCATGTCACAGACTCTCATCAAACTGACAACAAACCAAAATGTTGCATATTTGCACCATAAATATTAATGCTCTGAACATTCATATCAATGCTGTGTTTATTTGCACCATGTTTATTCTCACAAACTGTTCACATTTGATCACTGCTGCACTTTATGGAATGGAAATGTTGTGAAAGCTGTAAAACCAATTTTCGTTTTGTACACACTAGGGTTGTCAAAAGTATTGATACTAAAAAAAGTATCGATACTGAAACGTTGTATCTGGATACAATACGCGTTTTTAAAAGTACAGTGCTACCACCATGGGCATCTAAGCAGTCATTCATCTCAAGTGCAGAATAGAGGAAAATGCACTTTCTGAACACTGTGTGATTGAATAATTCTGTGCACTTTTCAGTTTCAGACTTTTTTTTTTGTAAGAGGTGCAGCTGCTGAGAATTATTTTTGTTTCTTAACCGGTTTGGCTAGTGTCGTTGTTATTTGTGCAAAGCATAGCCAAGGAAGGAACACTTAATTTTAATTTTATAAGTTTTTTTTATCAAGCTTGCTTAATAATGTGCACAGCATACAACCTTTATTGTATCTATTTATTGCATTTAATTTATTAATGAAAATATTTCTGTAGAATTTTAGAGTCTTTGTTTTTATCCTTGTGGTATCGAAAATGGTATCGAGTATTAAATATTTTCCTCAGTATCGGTATCGAGTTGAAAAGTTTAGTATAGTGATAACCCTAGTACACACTCTGGTGTACAAAATCAGGCATCCCCAACCTCTGTCCTCGAGGCCCGCTGTCCTGCATGTTTTAGAGGTTTCCCTGCTTTAGCACAGCTGATTATAATGATTGCAGTAGACCAAAATCCTGTTAATCAGCTTTCAATTAAAATCAGCTGTTCTGGAGCAAGGAAACCTCTAAAACCTGCTGGACAGTGGGCCCTCGAGGACCTAGGTTGGGGATGCCTGTACAAAATGACAATAGAAGTTGTCTAAGTCTTAAGTTGCAAGTAAATCCGAGAACTTGTTTGCTAGGGATCAGTTTTTTATATATTGTCCAATTTATACAGTGGCCCTGAAGTGCAAACTGCAACTACAAATTTAAAAGCGCAACTACATTAAGAAAAACAAAACTACATAAAGCAAAGCGGAACTAGATTAAGGAAAACACAATTACATTAACCTACCGGAAAAGGTAGGTACCAGTGGGAAACATGAGACATCGCTGATTGGACGACGGCGCCGTTTGACCCTTGAACCGGAAGTCATTCTGCCTGCTGCGGCTTTTGAAAACATGGATATTGTCGGCGCCCCAAACATAGCTGCCGTTATCCGGGAATATTTTGAATGAGGACATACGTACGAGGTGATACTGGATCAAGGGTCAAACGGCGCCGTCGTCCAATCAGCGATGTCTCATGTTTCCCTCTGGTACCTACCTTTTCCGGTAGGTTAATGTAATTGTGTTTTTCTTAATGTAGTTGCGCTTTGCTTTATGTAGTTGCGATTTCCTTAATGTAGTTGCGCTTTTAGATTTGTAGTTGCAGTTTGCACTTCAGGGCCACCGTAAATTTATATTTTTTTTAATTATCTATTAACTCTTTATCTCTTAATAGTTCCTTATTCAGTGGCACAAAAATATGTAATTTTCTCCACCAGTGTGTTGACATATTTTATTCCTTCCTCCTTTTTCAGACCTACCCAATGGATGGGAAGAGGGGTTTACCTTTGAAGGAGCAAGATGCTTTATAAAGTAAGTTCAACAACATTCTTCAATACCACACACCCATCGCACCTTTGGCCAAACACTCCAAGCTCACACCAAGTAAAATGAAGCCTCTTCACTGTTGCTGTGCAAGCAGGATACCACGATGATTAAATCCAAATGCATTTATTTCCACTTAAGTGATTTTGGATGAATCAAACATTGTGGTGTCGCTGCTCTGTGTTAGTAGGACACGCCGAAAGGTTGTAAATACTGGACCTTTACTCCTCTTTGCAGTGGAAGTCTATCGCAGAGTTAATGATTACATAGGAATATGGTGCAAATAGCAGACAGACCTGGGTGGAGGGAGGTTTGCTTTCCTATGTTGAGCTGTTTGTAATCACAGGACTAAATGTCCTCTGCCCACTTGTAAAATTAAGGTGGACTGATATGTTTTTGTCCTTTTTTTTATCAGTGATCCTTCCTGTTTGTCTTTAAATCTTGGCGCTGGGGTTTGAAATGTTGCTTTAATGTTTCTACACACTGGGAAATTTCGCAATGTTCTCGTTTAAGCTTGGAGCAAACAAACGTGAAAACATCATGTTAAATTCATGCATTAGTGCAATGAAAGGCTAAACTACACACACACTCCTAATGATGTTTCTCAGTTGTTGTTTTTTTCTTTTTTTTTTGTATAAATCCAGTGTTTACCTTTAAAAACTGAAGCTGCATTCCGCTCCTGTGTCATTTTCTGCTGTTTTCTGGTTATTTGGTTTGTTGGCGAAGGTTTTTTTTTTTTTTTTTTTTGCTCTAGTGACATCCCAACAATGCAATGCTGAGTTTCATTGGAATCATGCTTAAAGCTCTCTTTTGTCCCTGGACCAATGAAAGAGCCCTTTTTTAATCGCTCTGACAGTGTGACCTGGGGCCACATTTTCGAAGCCAAAAAATCGACAACATCTTTTCATAATGATCCTCTTTCTTCAGGGAAAGCCTAGAAACACACAATATAGTGTCAGAGGTTGTAAATAATATTTCTGGAATCCTCTTACCCTAGAAATGAAGATATGATTCATGTCAAATTTTGATATGGACCCTAACAACCCACTGACTGCAGTAATAGAGAACAAATTGTAGAAAAAAAAGATAGATTTTGCATTTAAGATGGAAAACCTTTGTTCAAGAAATCCTCAAGTAGCAAACTTTTAGCTTCACATAGTTAAAATAAGTTGAAAAATCTACAGAAACAGCACCTATGCTGTTAGAAAAAATAAAAAAAAGATAAATTTTATACCAAAATAAGCTCTTTATGCATATTTTAATCTGAAAGATGCTGACCTTGTTTGCATTGGGGAGATATTTCTAAATAAATTTATCCATTTACTACTTTAAGGATGCACCGTGAATTAATTCATGTCTTAATGTGATATTAAATACAATTATAAGTGTAAGCTAATGTTTGATCAGCAGTATATACCAATTTAAACCAGTGAGTTCACTTTGTGCTTCCTTTCTTTCAGCTTATCTATAAGCATTGAGATATTTTATATTCTACTCTCTCTCTGACTCTATAGTCAGACTTATGCAGTGAGGGGATCAGAAGTACCGTCTCAGTCAGGCTGATTCATTATCCACCCTGTAGATCTGCATAAATGAGTGAAAACTGCTATTTTGCATATTTTCTAGAAAGAAAAACAACATATCCTATAACTGAACAGGTAGATATTTAGCAGCGAAATTTGCTAAAATACCATAAAATCACTGCAGCAATGACACTGGAAAAGTAAGGATATAAAACCCTTATTATTCCCACTGAATCCACTCTCCCTTTTTGGCTTCTTCATGAATTCATGAGGCTTCACGTGGAAGTTCGCCAGGCAGTAATTTCATATTCCTCTATTTTATCACAGATTCTCTGTTGAAGACGTTCTTAGGAAGCGCCGCATTCATTAGCTGATCAGCGGGATTCTGACTCAGTCTAGTGATGCATCCACTCTGCATTTTGGCATTTAGAAAAAAACCCCAAAATGATTTGTTTCATGCATCAGCTGAATTCTAAACAAATCTAAGGTAAAAAAAAAAAAGTTTGAGGTAAGATCTTTACATTCTGGACCAGCCTGGGTTTATTCTGTTTGATCAGCTCAAAGTAAACAGTAACTAGTAAAATTCGGCTCCAAAAGTAAACTCAACAAACACTTAAAGAATTTCAACTCTTTTCAGCTATAATAATAATAATTTTGCAGCATAATTAAGTAAAGAAAACAGCATGTGGAGGTGTCTCGTTGTCTTCTACTGATGATGTCTCTCTATATCCTTCAAAGTTTTTTAAAGGAAAAGTCAGCTCATATTCAGAATTCAAATTTCTGAAAGTAATTTAAATATGAAATTGTTGCATACTGTTCAATAAATTATGTGTTTTTAATTAAGATTAATTTTCATTTGAATGTGCTTTATGCTACGTTCACACCGGACGCAGCTGGCGCGACAGAAGCAGCGAGTTTACGTGCAAAGTCAATGGTTGACGCGCGTCAAGGCGCAGCAAAAGGTCCCACGGCGCATCTGACACGCGTGGCGCGCTGCAAACGCGCCGCTGCTCGAGATGGAAAAAATTTACTTTTGCTGCTCGACGCGCCACGTCAGCCAATCAGAGAAGCTGATCTGGGAGCTGGCCGTGAGACAGACACATCGCTGATGACCCAGAGCGCTGTGATCGCTCCTCTGAAAGTTTATTGATGCATAAATGCAGAAATCTGCCGGTAGAATATGTTCGCTTTTATTATTCTGGTGCCTGCAGTTTAGATTATTTAGATGAAAAACACCTACCAGCCGCCGCGGTGAACCGCGAGGAGGCGACCCGGCCAGAGGCTGCTGTTGAATGGATTCCTACTGTCGGCGCACCGCTGGTATGTGGGGGTCTGAGCGGCTCCGACAGAGAAATGATATTAAAAGGCGGGATAATAATCTGAATGAACTGACGGCACTGATGAAGTTTTCAGGTGGATTTTCTCACTTAAAAACATATTAAAACTACTTTATTCCCACTGATCACAGCAAATATAGCTGCAAGGCAGAGAAAGGATAGTGAAGCTCCGCCCAACGCACGTCAGACACACTTTTGCACCGCGCAGTCAGCGCAGCAAAGCTGCTTCAGCCGCGAACTAAACTGGTACAAGCAGCAAAAATGAAGCAGCAGATGCGATTTTGCTGCTTTTGCTGCGTCCGGTGTGAACGTAGCATTACTGGAGGCATCCATGTTTGTCAAAGAACACTACTGCCACCTACTGGTTTGTGACGTCACAGTGCGGTATCGGCTGTTGATCAAGTCCCAGTGCTGTATCTGGTGTTTGTCACAATGCGCTATTATCCAAGTCATCTTGAAAACATTCTTCTTCCAAATGTTGGCTACATATTACGGGTTTTTTCTCTGGCCAGAAGTTCGATGGCAAATCCTCCCTTAATACGACGACGAACCCGTCCGTGGAGGATCAGGAATCGGAAAGGTGGAATAACACTTTTTTTTTTTTTCACTTTTACCCGAGGTAGTACAACATCCAACTGCCATGCACGTGGGCATTGTCTGGTGAATTTCAATGGTGAAGTCCTCTGGAAATCTTCAATAATTGTTGTTGATTGCAGATGTGTCTAGTAGTTCCCATTGATTTTGCTTTTAAAGCGGGGAGAATGGCGCTAGGCTTACCGCACCGTGACGTCACTGCTGGAAGATGGAAGGAGGGGGGGGTTACTATATTTGGGCAAAAATGGCCGCTCCCAGACTCAGTGATCGTGACAAAAATTACATTTCAATTTTTTTGTTACTGATTAACTCTAAATTCATGAAATCATTGCAAACGTATTAGTTTTAGGTATAGATAATGATCCATTTTTCTTTTCCTTTAAGGTGATTTATGTGTTTTTGGAGCATATAGGGTATTAACTAAAACCTAATTAAAAACACGTTTGGTAGTACAACATGAGCTGATTCTCAGTTTGGGTCTAAATATCAGCACACAAGTGACAGAGGATTCCCTAGTCTGGTGGTGAGTGTTTTATTTCTTCTCTGGCTTGTTTGCTTGGTTTCCCCCTCCAGTGTTTTACTTAACAAGAGCCTTTAGAATTCCACTCATGTGGTCACTAAAGCCCGAGTCATAAAGATGGCTGCATGCACAGTCCAAGGCACAGCAATGTGCTCTGATCATTGTGTCTTTCCTAGTGTGCCGAAGCTCGTAGCAGCCAAACTGTGTCGGGACTATTAATTTCAGTTTGACTCATTGTTTTGATAGGAGATTTGCTGACAGGTTTATGAGGTAACTCTGACTTGGACTGTCTGTGGCACATTTTGATGCTTTTATGCAAGGCTGCCAATAAAAAGCCTCTGAGAACTCTCAAACACTTTTCTCCTGCTGACAGCTGGATAAGCCTTGGATGTGCCTTAGGTTTTTCAGTAGGTCCTTATTACTTCGTCATCGATTTAGTGTTTCTCAGTGTTATAAAGCGAGGGCTTTGTCTTGCTTTTATTATGTAAGGAAGTCAAAACAGATTTTAAATCATCCAAAAAGTCTAGAGATGTCTCATTTGTGATGTCCAATTTTTTTTTAAAAGCTTCATCATACCAATATCGTCTTTAGCTAATTCTAATTTATTTTAATATTTATTATTTTAAAATACATTCAAATAGAAAGGAGGAAAGAGTGAAAACAAGGTTAAGATTTGGTCATACAGGACTTAATTATACACTTTTTAAAATACAAAAACGGGCAAATGTGATTTCTGTGATAAATATGAAACTATAGAACATGTTATATTAGAATGTCATAAATATGAAAAAGAGAGAAGATATATGAGAAGAGAGTTTGAAGACAAGGAGAAGGTTAATTTATTAGATATACTGAGGAAAAATTTTGGGAGTAAACACATACAAATAATTATTCGATTTCTAAAGAAAACAAAATTATTTAATAGAATTTAATTATAGTAAGTGTGTTTGTGAGTGAAGGAATGATATACAAAGCTGTGCACAAATATGTATATATTTTTAAGTGTGAATGTGT